AGAGATGGTTTTCTTTGTAAATACATGCATACATACATACATACATATATATATATATGTGTGTGTGTGTGTGTATGTGTGTGTGTGTGCGTGTGTGTATGTATGAAAAGTGTATATAAATATAAATAAATATATATATGTATAACAAGAGTTTGTCTGACGATCGCTAAAGCGTGAAACCCAGGGTCACAAACTCACATCTATCCAACCAAATATATATATATATATATATATATATATATCCATGTAACACGATTGCTATTGTGTAGCGATTTTTATCATTTGTTTTGTTTTTTAATCTCCGATAATAAATAAATTTTGTGTGTGTGTGTGTGTGTGTGTGTGTGTGTGTGTGTGTGTGTGTGTGTGTGTGTGTGTTTTTTATTTTATGCTCTTCTGGTCATTTTCGAACATTTTACAACTGAACATTTGTTTAATTTCTGCTCACCTCTTAACCTAAATTAAAATTCGCTCACACACACAAACACACACACACACACATGGACTCACACATATGCACACACATTACACATTGGAGAAACTGAGCCATTTTGGGGGATTCGCTCACACATACATAGCGACAGACACACACCCGCACTCATTTTAATGAATAACTGATTTTCAATTAGCAATAATCTAGCTATCACCTGCATTACGCTCTTCTCAATAATTGTCTCTCCCAGAATCAAAAATAATAAAAAGAATCTATTTCTCGTTTCATCGTCAGTCATTAATGTGTCTTGCGTAATACACGCTTAGGCGATCATGTCTTTTTCGATACATGACTGACGAGGCAGATTTTTTTTTCCTGCAGTAGGTTGCCATTTCTTTCTACGGTAGACCAGTTGCCATCCAAGGCTATAGAACCCGGTCTGTCCTGCTATTTACCCGTAGCTGGTGGGAGGGGGGAGAAGAAGGAGATTCATAGCATTCCCAAGGGTATTAGCACTTAAATGAATGTAATGGATTCGAGTGGAATTCGAACTCTGCTCTCCGATTTCTCAATCCGAGCCGCTATCCGTGCCTCCTCTTTTGTTTCATCAAGGTATAAACTTAATGGTAAAAATGATAAACACACAGTAAATGCCAATCTTTTGCACATCATTTAAATAGTTTCCGGATATGTTTAACATCTCTTCCCAGTTTTATTTCCTGAAAAGATACTGTCAATGGCGGTTGTGAATTGTTTAGTTGTAATTGGATTCTTTTGATTCGCACTTTTTCCAAATTTTATCCGTTTCTTTGCGTTGTTGAATTATTGAAAAATTATTTTATTTATTGTACGAATAAGTTCTACAGAATTTATTTGTTATTACACTGCATCGGCAGTTTCCTACTTTAATGTCTTTTCAGAAGTCAGACAGTCATATACATAACTATAAACACACACACACACACACACACACATATATATATATATATATATGTATATATATATATGTATATATACACGTAAATATATATATATACATACACATAAATATATATATATACATACACATAAATATATATATACATGCACATAAATATATATGTATATACATACAAATAAATATATATATATACATACAAATAAATATATATATATACACAAAAATATTCATACACACACACACTCACATATATATATATATATATATATCTGAACATAAACATATATATATATATATACATACAGTCAGTTATGCGCTATGAGTGACACACGCTTAGACGACCATGTCACTTTGACTGACGATGAAAATATTTTTCCCGCAGTAGGTTGACATTTCTTTCTGCAGTAGACCAGGTGCCATCCAAGGCTATAGAACCCAGTCTGTCCTGCTATTTCTCCATAACTGTGGTGGGGGGAGAAGGGAATTCATACCTTTCCCAAGGGTATTAGCACGTAAGTGAATGTAATGGATCCGACTGTAATTCGAACTCGGCTCAGAAGTCCCGCAAAGCTCAAGAATGTGGTTGGTTACATTGTACTGCTTTTTCGATTAGCTCAATTTATTATTTCTGTATAGTTTGCTGTTAATAAAAATTGCATGCTTGAAGTAAAATATTTTAATCTTAAGGCAAATTATTATATCGAAAGCATAAAAGAACTTACATATCCCCAAATTTATAAGTTGCACTGAATAAAAATCGTGAAATAAAGTTCGTTGTCGCTTTATGGAAACTATATGTATATAAATAAATAAATAAAAATATATATATATATATATATAAATAAATTTTGTTATGAACCATTCTTTTTGACCGACAGAATTCTGACATCAGCCTATCTTCAAATAATTACAGTATTTCCTCGATTATCCGGACATCCTGGGATAGGGATTGAACAAATTCTTTCGGATAATTCAAAATTCCGGATAAGTGAATACCTAAATTATCGAAAAAGAATGAAGGAAAAATAAATAATTTTCTGAAATAAATTTATATCAAATAACACCTTCCAGAAGTTTTTGGTTTTGTCCAGTTTATTTTTTATTAAAAAAAAAAAATGTATCCATTTTTGTCTGTTTCCAGCTGGCTTCGTATTTTTCTTTCACAAAGCTGGATGAAAATATATTTATTTGTAAGAGTAGTTTCTGTTTGAAAGCGCGTCCATCTTAAAAATTTGAATTTTTATTAAACACTGTTTTTTTTTTGTTTTGTTTTTTTCAAATCGCTTGACGTAGATAAAATTTTCAGATGGGTTTAGAACTAGAAAATGTTCAGAAAATTTCAGTTTTTGTTTTCATTTCCCGTCCGGATAATCGAATTCTGGATAATCGAGATACGGACAATCGGGGATATACTGTAATATATATCTACGGTGCTATAGAGGGTGCAGAGGCTCCACCTTTTTATGCTGGAAATGAGTGCTAAACAGAAGTAAATTTGACTTCTTGGCCTCAACTATAACAAGTCTCTTAAGAGGTACGCTATAATTTGTCTAAATACCTTACTACCATTAATTTTCAAAGTAAATCAGAAAACTGCATTTTTGGAGGAAGGGGGTTAAAACATTAGCTTCTAAAATTTTATAAAGGCCTTATTTGAGGAAAAAAAAACTTACAGGTCCTATTCCATCAAAACAGTACAAACGAAAAGCAACCCTCGCCGCACCCAACAAAAAAAAATAAATGTAATTTCAAAATCAAATAAAATAAAAAAAAAATGTGAGGATAATATATCTAAAAATGTTCATTTTAGAAGAGGAGCAGATAAAAATATCGAATCAGGAATCATTCAAACTGAATACATATCCGGGCCTGGATCAGAGTTTAATGTCTGCATACCTCATTTTAGATAAGAGAAAATATTTGATCTCAGGGTTTGCTAACCATTCGACTGCACCTTCCCCATTGCATCAAGACAGTCGGTTTAATATTGGCATTGGTCACGGAGACTGGACAATTTTTGCACATGCCCATATGTACGCGTTAGGGCAGCTCATATAAAAAAAAATGAGATTGTGGCACATCCTACTTGACTGTGGGGTTTGTGAGGTCAGGT